ATCGATTTGCTCGAGCGGGCACCAGTAATGTCTCACGACAAATTGTGAGATTTGTTACTGTTTTTGGCATATCAAATACGTCACAGGTAGCTTGCCAGGCTTTGCCGTGTGGGCGTATATAAGGTACTTAGAATATAAAAGGGCCTTTTGATCATAATTCAAAGGATAAAGTAATCAAATGTGGGAGCATAGTATATAATCTAATGTGTTTTAGAAAATGCATAGAACGTCAGTAGAATCAGGAGTGCTCTCTTAAAAAATTAAAAAACACATTTTATTTTGTTTATTTAAAACTTAGGGAAAATAGGTGAAGGGACAGAGAGATAGTACAGGCATTAAGGCACTTTCCTTGCACATGGCTGACCCTTATTTGATCCCTGGAACCACATGGTCCCTGGAGCACAGGGCACTGCCAGGTATAGTTCCTGAGTGCAGAGCCAGAAGTAACCTTTGAGTACTGCCAGGTGTGGCCCAAAAACAAGAAGGAAGGGAGGAAGATTTATGGTTCTTATTTTTTAACGCACGTATACACAGAGTATACCTATTGCTTATAATTATGTTAGGATATTACTTAGATTATACTAGATGATTAAATGTGAAATGGTAGTGTCTAATTCCGTTACTTTTTAAGCACTCTTAAGTTCAAAAAATTGACAAGCGGGAGATAGAGAGATAGCACAGCTTGTCGGGTGCTCGCCTTGCATGTAGGCTGACCCAGGTTTGATCCCCAGCATGGCCCCCTGAGTACCATACTACATGGCCCCCTGAGCACCATCAAGAATGATTCCAGAGTGCAGAACCAGGAGTACCACCAGATGTAGCCAAAAACCTAAAGAAAAACAAAAATTGGATGAGCTTTTCAAACCAATTTTTTTTGTTTTGCCATCTCAATCTTACCCACAATAGCAATTAATTAGTTGCACTTTAATTAATAAGGAATCAATCTTTTAATAAAGGGATTTTTTAATTGAATCACTTTTTTTCAGTAGAACCTAATTTTACATACTATTAGTGGGCATTATTTGATAAGTAAGACAAACTGCTTTATTTCTTGAATTTTTCCTGGGACCAACTGAACAATTTGAAGGATTTAATTAACTAATTGCTTATAAAATAAGATTTCAGTTGATCCATAAATGCAGTGCTTTGCACTTTGTCAAGTTGTAAGGTAAAAGTTACATTTTACCTTTTACCTTTCCAGTTGAACATATCTGGAATAAAGTGAAGACCTAACATCATACTAGCAACTGCATGTCCCATTAAATCATTGTGATCAAGTGGCTACTAACATTTTTTTGTAAGAAATTAATATATCCCTATCTTGTGAAAGAGAATTCCATTATATCCTTTCATAATTAATCCAGCTTGAAAGTAATAAAATAAATAAGAACAAGGTCATCAGACTCCTCTGGAAAGAAACCAACCCCAGCTATCCAGAATCTCTTTGGGTTACCAGGGAGGAAGTGTCAAGCCCAGGAAGTCAGATAATATACTGCTGCTGATTTTCATACTCAAGTTTGTTCTACACAGATGGGAGGTATCAACCCTTGGAGCACTGATAGATCACGTCAGGACAAAATGATAGATAGGATCTTTCTTGTTGACAGCAGAATTGTTTTCACATTCCACTTAAATTATTCTCATTCATACCATGGCACATAATCTCTGGCAAGGACACTAAGAAAAACTAATCAAGTGACTCACTGCAAAACAGTAAAAATAATGTTGCACGGGCCAGAGCAATAGTACAGCGCATAAGGTGCTTTCCTTGAGGAAGGCTGACCATCCCAGGCACCTCATATGATCCTCGACAACTGCCAGGGAATGATCCCTGAGTGCAGAGCTAGCAGTAAATTCTAAGCAATGCTGGGTGTGTCTCCAAAACCCAACAAAATAAAATTGCAAAGTTACAGTGCAAGAAAATATAAGACAATAGTTGAATAATCTCAGTTATTTTTTAAAAAATCTATAAAACTCTTTACCATTTATTAATATGAATTTATTGGTTAAATAAAAACATATACATAAATTAAAATATAGGGCCTACATAAATGCTGTTTGTAATGGTAAAATAAATTTTTATATTTCACTTGAAAATATTCCTACTTGAAAAGAAATCATGTGTCATATATGGCACTGACCCTAACTTCTTTTTCTTTTTTTGCTTTTTGAGTCACACCCGATGATGCACAGGTGTTACTCCTGGCTTTGCACTCAGGAATTACTTCTGGCGGTGGTCAAGGGACCATATGGAATGCAGGGAATTGAACCCAGATCGGTTGTGTGCAAGGCAAATGCCCTTCCCACTGTGCTATCACTCCAGCCCTGTGGCCCTAAGTTCTCTTCTTCTTTCCCTTCCTTACCTGTTTTTGGAATTGTTTTATACACAGAGGTCACAAACTTGGTTGTGTTTCTTGCTGGGGTTCACAAAATTTAATTGTGTGTCTCTCACTTCAAAATGTTTTCAACAAGTTTAGTAAAAAAATTATAACCTCATGAGATTTTATATAAAGGAGAAATGTGAAAGTAAGATGTGGTTACAGAATTAGGAGACTGTCTCAGAACAGGCCCTGGAACAAATTGCTATGTTTTGTGAATTGAAAGAACAGAAAGAGGGGTGGAAATTCATTTTTGTCAAGAAAGAAAGGAAGAGTGAACGAAACCAAATTTACTTAATGCCTACCAAATTAGAACTTGAACATGACTCAGTCAGATTCAAGGGTTCCCTACAAGGATTCACAGCACACAGAAGAGCTGTTACATGCAAGTTCTCACTGATTCAGGCATAGGCTATAACAAACAATGGTGTGCTTAGATTCTAGGTTCGTGGTAGAACACCATGCCTCATGAGTTTGATGCCCTAGGCTTGAACCTGAGTGATAAATAAAGGTAAAGGTAAAGGCCCTCCCGTTGATCGTCGATTTGCTCGAGCGGGCCCAGTAACGTCTCCATTGGAGACTTTGTTGTTACTGTGTCTGGCATATCGAATGCTCTCGGTAGCTTGCCGGGCTCTCCGAGAGGGGCAGAGGAATCGAACTCGGGTCGGCCATGTTGGCCGCTTGTAAGGTGAACGCCCTACCCGCTGTGCTATCACTCCAGCCCTAAGATACCTTTACCTTTACCTTTAATATATATCTTTAAATTTTATCACTGTCAGATAGTTACAAGGTAAAGGTAAGGTAAGGTAAAGGCCCTCCCGTTGATCGTCGATTTGCTCGAGCGGGCCCAGTAACATCTCCGTTGGAGACTTTGTTGTTACTGTGTTTGGCATATCGAATACTCTCAGTAGCTTGCCGGTCTCTCCGAGAGGGGCGGAGGAATCGAACTCGGGTTGGCCATGTTGGCCGCTTGTAAGGCGAACGCCCTACCGCTGTGCTATCGCTCCAGCCCTGAATTTGACGTCTCCATTGGAGACTTTGTTGTTACTGTGTCTGGCATATCGAATACTCTCGGTAGCTTGCCGGGCTCTCCGAGAGGGGTGGAGGAATCGAACTCGCGTCGGCCATGTTGGCTGCGTGCAAGGCAATGCCCTACCGCTGAGGTAAAATCTGCAGAGGTGAAAGGACCATCAGGCAGAGCACAGAACTAATCTAACCTAAGCTTCCAGTTGAAGAGGTACTTAATTCCCCAGCACTTTGTGAAAACATCTACCAAGTATTGAACATTGAGAAAGCGCAACTGAGTCTTAGCATCCAGGGTCTTTTATGAGATTACATCACCCAGTTGTGCAGATGTTCACAGCTAACCTGATCTGTAGTCTCTGACTCCCACAAGTCTGACAGATATAGTGTGAACCAGGGATCCAAGCAAATAGAAAACAGAGTTTTACCTTAAATCATACTATTCACATGAACTATCTTGAATAACCCAAGTCAAATGAGCAAAATCAAATTTAATCTACAAATATACTCTTTTTTTTAATTTTCTTTAAAATTTTTATTAGTGAAACACCATGAGGTACATTTGTAGACTTACAAATTTTTGTGCATGGGTTTCAGTTATACAATGATCGAGTACCCATCCATCCATCAGTGCCCATTCTCTACCACTACTAATCCCAGTATCCCTCCCACCCCCCATCTCCCCATCCTACCCTGCCTCTGTGACAGGGCACTCCCTTTTGTTCTCTCTCCTTTTGGGTGTTGTGGTTTGCAAAAGAGGCATTGAGTGCAATCATGTAAAGTTGCAGGCTGTAAAATCAATACCCAAAAGTCCATGACTTTCCTATACACAAATAGTGAGAGAGAAGAAAGTGACATGAAGCAAACAATCCCATTCAGAATTGTGCCCCAGAAAACCAACTACCTAGGAATTAGCTTAACTAAGGAAGTAAAGGACCTGTACAAAGAAAAATAATCTACAAATATACTCTTATCAGGCAGAATATTCCAGGGCTTTAAAGATTCTCCCAGGATTCAGACAAGAGCAGTTCTTCCTTTGCATTGTGAGGGTGTTTGAACATCCCCAAACCTACCAAGCACAATCAAGAATGTGTAACTATAGGCCTGAAGCTTTAAATTTTAAAGTGTTTTAGATCCAAACACATGGGGGGTTGCGGGGGGGGGGGAGGGGGGAGAAAGCTGCTATGTGCAAAAAGAGAGAAAAAAAGAAAATACCTGTATCCATTTGTTTCGATAATGATTACGATACCTGTATCCATTTGTTTCGATAATGATTACGTGAAAGTAAAGAAAATTTGTAATAGACTGCATATTATTCTATTAGCTGTGGAAGTGGTATTCCGCAATGTGTAGCTGGCCTCAGTGGAATAATTTGAGGTTATTTGTGATCCTAACACCCTGATTTCTTACGGTGTGAGCCATCCCTCAGAGCACTCGAAATGACTCACTCACTGCTGCTGCTGAACAGCAATGTAGAAAAAGGTTATGCTGTGGTGCGGTGAAATCTTGAGGATTAACTGTTCTTTCTCTTTTCATCTCTGCCCTCCCTCCGACTCTGCAACTCCTTTCGTGATCTTCCATGTGTGCTCTTCTCTGAAGATGTTCCAGTGGATTTGATCGTCATCGGCAGGACTGGGTGGACAGTGGATGCCCTGAAGAGGTACGCCTGTGCTTTATTATGACAAGACTCCTAGGACCAAGTTGTCATAAGCAGACCTTATAATCCTATTTATGCGTTTTCATTCACTGGGCTTAATTGTTTAGTCCTGTCTCAGTTTGTTCTCAGACCTTCATGTATTGCTTCTATATGTAACCAAGAGAAGGGGGGCCTGGAAGTAAGGATAACCAGAAGTTAGGTATGTGGCTAGGGAAGAGTTTAACAGAACTTTGCATCTTTATGAGAAAAAGGCAGTTCTCTCAACTATGCTCCTTTTCTAGGAAGCCGTGTTTACATCTTTATTGGCAAAAATAACAAAAACAATAGGATTATGCAAATTATGATAATACAAGAAGTTAGAAAAATTGTAACATGGTAACTAACCTTCCCAGAAAACTTAATAGAGATGATGATAACCTGAAAAGATTTACGTTGTGTTTATAATTGCAAAAACTGTTCAACCCTGATCAAATCTTTCCTTGTGAGCTACATATTTCATGTCCATATAAAAATGCCCTATTAATTTCACCAATAAATATATTTGTCTTATCTACATATTTTAAGTTTCAGGTATGAATTTTGAACAGAAAAAGAATTACTTTTAAAAATAGTCTGTGTCCGCTGAAAGTAGACTATAGACCAAACATGATTGTCTACCATTGCCTCTTTTGCAGACCACAACACCCAATAAGAGAGAGAGAACAAAAGGGAATGCCCTGCCACAGAGGCAGTGTGGGATGGGGGGGATGGGCAGTGGGAGGGATACTGGGATCCGTGGTGGTGGGAAATGGGCACTGGTGGAGGTATGGGTATTTGATCATTGTTTGATTGAAACCCAAGCACAAAAATTTGTAAGTCTGCAACTGTACCTCATGATGTCTCACTAATTAAAAAAAAAAAAACTAGTCTGTATCGGGGCCGGAGCAATAATACAATGGCTGCATTGTATTGCTTTGCATTGTATTGCTTTGCATGCAGCCAATCTGGGTTTGATCCTGGCATCTCATATGGTTCCCCCAAGCACTTCCAGGAGTGTCCCTGAGAGCAGAGCCAGGAGTAACCCCTGAGCACTGCCAAGTGTGGCCCAAAAACAAAAATCAAAAAAGAGAACTACTCTGTGATCAGTGGTTTATTGACACTGTTTGGAAACTTAAAATTTTATTAATGGTGCTTCATATAGATGAAAAACATCTTTGGGAATATTTTTTAACTTTGACAATGAGATTTAATCTACTTTTTAACATTTATTTGGGAGGGTTTAATGATAAATGCTAATACCTTTTTCATAACTTTTACATAGCTAATACCATTTACATAACTTCATAGTTCAAAAAGAAAACATAGTTCAAAGAGAAAAAATAGCCGTTAATAGCTATGTTATCAATATAGTGATAACAGCGATGTTTTATTCCTGTCATCTCAAGTGCATCAATAAAAAAATTAAAATTGAGCATACCATGTAGAGATCAAGAACTAATTAAGTTATCTAGTACTCATGTTTCTGCATGAGCCCATATGGAGCACCACAGATAAAAGGAATCATCATATTTTAAATTCTCCTAAACATTTTTGTGGATAATTTACTACAAATGTGACTTGTGCCTGGGACTAAAATTATTTTTTTTAGCCACACAAACAATCCTCTCAAAAAGCCCAGAATCCAATAATTCTCTTTATTCGATGCTTCTTTTTCTTTAATGAAAATTTAGAAAATAATAGCTATCTTTAGCTTTACATTGAATGTCTATCTTTTTACTAATAAACAGTCACCAATTTCAGTACATTTTCCCTACTTAATGTTAAAGTTACTTTTCTTTAATGAAATTAATTATCTTTTCTGTTTCACCTTACATGTTTCTTTATGAGATGTCTTTTACTCATTTTTTAATTGAATGAAAAATCTTTTCCTTTTCCTTTTGAATGCTAGGTTAATGTAATATAGTAGACCCAGTACATAAACACCATATAAAATTCTCTATTTAAAATATTTAAATATTTAAATATTTTATTTAAAATATTTATCTTAAGAGACTTCAGGATTCTTCACTGTCCTCCCATTGTTCATCAATTTGCTCAAGTGGGCCCAGTAGTGTCTCCATTGTGAGACTTGTTGTTACTGTTTTTGGCATTTCGAATACATCACAGGGAGCTTGCCAGGCTCTGCGGAGCAGGAGGGATACTCTCAGTAGCTTGCTAGGCTCTCCTAGAGGGACAGAGAATAGTATAACCTACAAATAACAAAAGTTTTGCATCTTGCCTTTTGTTTTGTACTATTCTAGCAAGTGAATATCATTCTGTATATTATCTCCAGTTTTGTGTCTCTTTTTATTTTCTCTATGATTTTATTTAGTAGTCTTCTATCCTTAATTAGATGTGACATATTTTATTAATCTTTTAATTTGTTTAATTATATGTGTTTGTTTATCTTCTCTTATAGTCTCTTCCAAATTTCTCATAGTCAATTTCATATATTTTCTTCTATATGTTTTCATGATTTTTCCTTCACATCCAACTCTATTCTTTCTGGAGTTGATATCTACGTGTGATATTATTAAGATAGGAATTCAATTTTTATGGGCAATTTCAGGAATGGTTTATTAGAAGGTTCCTTTAATAAATCCCCCTGGAAAGCCATTTCTTACATAGTTTCTAATAAGGTAGGAGTCCAATCCTGGGATATCTTCTTTCAACACTTAACTTAATTACTACCCTAATAAGTGTTGTACTGTCTTAATAACTATAGTTTTACCAAAAAAATGGGAATCTAAGGATTACTTTCCTTGTTTTTTCTTCCTAGCAAGTGTTTTGATTATTTTCTTGGTTCTGTTTTTTCATATGCACTGTAACTTAATTTGCATTGCCCAGGCCTATTATTATTTCCTTTGGAAATACTTAGAGCTATAATCAATTCTCCATTTCCAAATCATAGATTTTTTAAAGAAAATTTCTATTATTGACTTCTAGTTGGACTGTTATCAGAGAGATGATTCTTTAAAACTGAGGGAACTCTTTTGGTTATGTTTTGTTTTTATTTAGGGCCACACCCAGCAGTGCTCAGGGATTACTTCTGTCTCTACAGTCAGTGATCATTCCTAGCATTGTTCTGTGACCATATATGGGATGTCGGGTTTCAAACTCATTTCATCCATGTGCAAGGCAAATGCTCTACCCACTGTACTATCATTCCAGCACCTTGAATAATATTTTTCACTAAAATTTTTTCACTTCTAAAGTTTGAATGTGTCACATTATTAAATCTAAGTTGTCTTTATAGTCTCTTACTGGCTCTTTTTTTTAATTTCACTTTTTTAATTATTTAAATATTTTCTACACTATGCTTTATATAATCCCAGTAGGTAAATTTGGGGGGGGAGTTAATTTAAATGTTATCTGTTGATTTTACAAATTCTATCAAATATTTTTTGAAAAGCTCTTTTTATGCTTATTGTGTATGTGTGTTAAGAGATGGGAGAATGACCTTTAGGGCACCATTAGGACACATTTTTTTATTTTGTTCTATGGAAATATCTAAGACTTAATTAGATGATTTATCAAAAAGGATTTGGTAATGGGAACTTGAGGTTCTAGGGAGCTGCCATATGTTCCTGTTTAATACTAAGAGGAGATATAGAGATTTCTCTGCTCTATCTTCTACTGGTATAAAACTTGATCCTTATAAAGAAATACTGATCTTTAATACTTCCCTGCTCAAAGAAAAACCTTTTTTTCTACTTTAACTCTAGACTGCTCTTACTCTTTATAGCATTCAGTTTTAACTTTGTTTTATTTTCTGTGGGAGAAAATAGAGAAGTACCCTTGGAGAATTTCTTTACTTCTTGCAAATCCTAATAATGCTTTAAAAATACATGTTTTATCCAGAATCTACTTTTTTTATAACAGAAGTGCTATGTAGAGTCTTTAGTCTGCCTTTTCTGCCATAAACGAAATAAATCCAGGATTTGTCCTTAAACATTAGGGCATTTAATAGTATCATTATTCAAGAATAGAAGCACAGGAAGAAAATAATCTGTGGCAAATTCTACCTTAGATTTACTGAATTAAACATAATTTGTAACATCTATGTGCTCATGTTAAATCAGATGATTATTTAATCCCAAAATTTAAGGAGAATTTGGGGCCGAGGATATAGATTTATAAGTATAGATTTATTTATAAGATCAAATTAAAGATATTCATGAAATCACGGGTATGGAGGTAGGGACTAGTGATAATGCATACTGTGAATAAATGGGTCAAGAAAGAGCCATATGAACCATCAGTATTCAGGGGCTCAAGAGAAATGAAAGAAAATTGAGGCAGAGTTATTGGAAGGGGACCTTGAAATCGAGTAGAGTGTGTCTCACAGAACCAAAGAATGGAGAGTGGACTATTGTGTCACATGCTGATGGAGAACCAAAAGGAAAGCATAGAAGATTTATTAAATATGGAAATACTTCTGAACATGGGCATGACACATTTCAATTCCTTTGGGATGAGATATAAGCAAGAGTGCTGTGGTGGAGAAAGGAAAGTGGTCATCTGACAAGACCAGGCCGACCTGTCTATTGGGAAGTCTGACTGTGACAGAAGGACAAGAAGGACCCAATCAGAATGCCCCTTAGAGAAAAGGAAATACTGAGATCTTACCATTAGCATAGGCGTACTTGAGTATATTTTAACTGATGATGAGCACCAAGCAGCAGAATATTCAAGAATGAAAGCACTGGAGAGAAAAGATGGGATCCAATGAAGCAAGTTCACAGTAACTGAGAAGGTGGGCTGAATGGAGTCAGTGTAGATACTGAGAGGGGAGCTATAGCTAATAGTCCCCACTGCCTCACCCCACCACCCATTATAGCCAGAGGAAGGGAGAACAGGTCAGAAGGGATTCTGTACAAATACTGATTCATGAGGAAATTCAAGGAATTCTTTGTGATGACTCTCTAAGGTGATACTATGGGGTAGAACTAGAAGTAGGCGTATTGTGGGATTCTGTTTTTAAATAGAGAGGAGAGAATATGAAATTGTTACTGGGGATTAGAGGCAGAAGGCAAGGGATGGGAAGAGATCCCTGTTCAGTGCTTGAGCTCCAGCTGTGCCTGGCTTTGTAGAAGGCAGGAAAAGGACAGATTTAAAAACAAAACAAAACAAATCCACATTCAGTGCTGGTGGTTTTCTGAAAAGAGAGTGTGAAATTAAGCAAAACACAAACAATTCCTGAAAGCACTGAAAAGAAGATGAGGTATGGGGGAAGAGGAAAAGAAGCATTGCACTTGTGCTCTGTGTTTGGGTTGGAATAGGAGAGAACAGCTCCATGGAGAGACTGGCACATTACCAGCTGTCTGTAAGATCCAGTTTGTAGTGTGACAGTGAGTAGAGTGGAGGCAAGGAGGAGATCATGAGGTCATGAGGATGAAGAAGATGCAAGACTTAAAGTTTAGGGGGTTGCATGGGCTCCTAGTATAGTGGAGCTTGACATGAAGAGGAAGCCTGTTATCATATCCTGTTTATGAAAAATAATCTTTCCCAGAAACTCCTCCTGCACCTGCAATCAGGTGCACAGTACTTGCTGATGACAAGAAAAATGTAAGCAAGGTGTCTAGCACTAGCTTTCATGGTGGAGAGAGTTCCATCCAAGCGCAGAACATCTGTCTTCTACCAAGGTCAACCAGATAGATGGAGTCCTTTGAAACAAAGTGAGTTTGAGGAGGAATGCCAGCTTCTCAACCATGGAAGTCTGGATATTGGAGAGTGTTACTGGTGAAGGTCCCAGGGTTCTTATGTGGGACAGGAGAGTACAGGATGTAAGCTGCTTACCTTGAGTGCAGCTGACACTGGTTCAATCCCTCAAACCACGTATGGCCCTTCAAATACCAATTGCCAGGATAACTCCTGAGCATAGAGCCAGGAAAAGCCTTTGAGCACTGCTGGGTGCATACCAAGATTTATTTGGACAATATGAATTGAAAAATAGAACATGTATCTTTCCTAGGGCTAGTCTGAGTAGCTCTGCTGAGGACAAGAAACTTAAGTGAGCACGTCAGTACTCCCTTAATCCTTTGCTTTGGTGGTTTTGAATATGTCAAAAAGAAAAAAATGTAAATATCTTTTAACCCCATAGTAGATTAATTTTGACACAATAAAGTAATATGGAGCAGTTATTTTTATTTATTTATCTTTTAAGATTCAGAATTATTAATTGGATAGGCAGAGAATGCACTCTTTCCTCATCTAAGTATGTTTTGAACCCTATACTCTCTTACAAAAACTTTTCCCTTTCAACATTGTGTTTTTTAAAAAATACTGATCTAAAATTTAAAGCAAAATCAATGTGATATGTGAAATATGCTTCTGAAAACCATAGAAAGCAAATATCTAAAGAGAGAAAGTTTTTTGTTAGACCTGGTATTTTTCTACTTTGCATTCTTTGTAATATATGGAAATTTATCAACAACAGTGTGTGTGTTGGGGTTGGGGGACGTGGGCAGGGAATAATTTATTTCTCACCATGACCTGAGATTCTTTGTTTATGGCCCAACTTCTTTGATGTAATGTTTGGAACTCCATGTTCAGTCATTCCTAAGTCGCTTTTCATTTTGCTTCTCTCCCTAGTCAAAAGAGAAGATGTGTGAGAGCACAGAGCCAATGGAAAGTTCTCAAACCACCACCACGGTGCAGGTGACAACCACACAATTCCGGGTTTTGACAACCACCAGGAGAGCAGCCCCGTCCCAGATGCCCACCAGCCTGCCCACGGAAGGTGCCCTGCAGAGCATTTTTGCCTTTTCCCCCCACTGAATGATGAAATTTCTAGTTAGGCTGAACTAGAGTTTCCCTCCAGAGTCAAGCTTATTAACCAGTGTCTTCTGTGGAAATTTGGCAACAAGCAAAGGTTTCTGAGGGTACACTACCAAAAGTTAGTTCAAAACTTAATGAGCCATGAATCTGAGGTGTTTCTGATTGCACTCATCCATGTGGTACCTTTGTCGGGGAGGAGACACCCATGGTACATGTAGAAGAAGCCCTACTTGATAGTAGTGTTTCTCAAAGTGTGGGACCCTGTCCCCTATTGGAACTGAGTGTGGGGACAACAGTAGCTGGGATACAATTCCTAGGATGCTTTTCTTTTTAGGTAAAGAAAGTGGATTTCCAAGGGGGAGGGGGCTGCTGAGGGGGCTGCTGAGTAATTTTTTTTTTGGTTTGGGGGGTTTCGGGTTGGTTTGTTTTTTTCTGAAATGGGGCCAGTAACCATCGAAATGGGAACCTTTAGTTTAGAGTGGAAGATAGGTTTCCAATGGGGAAAAGATACAAGTATTACGGAGTAAGAATATGTGCTGGAATTCTTTGTTCTGTTTCCCCTTTGTTGAGACTGAGATTTTAACCCTGATTCTAGCTATTTGTCTTCCCTCAGAACAAAATACAATCTTCTTTCATATTGTTAAATTTTTCAGTAACTGAATTCAGTATTTCAGTCTCAGGGCAAAAAGGCAAAATGCATGTAAAATGCTTTTTGATTTTGAGTCTAAACAATAGATAATTCTACTTAGATGCAAATATAATATTTGCCTAAATATAGTCAGTAGAATGTGTTAGTCTATAAACTATAAAGGATTATTGTGTGTGTGTGTGTGTGTGTGTGTGTGTGTGTGTGTGTCTTAGGATTGTCCTTGAAAAACCTTTATTCTACTAGGGAAAGCATAAATACTAGGAAAAGTTATGCATGAGCACAATTTATAGTGGAAGAAGGCATATTAGCCAAAATTAGATAACCTTTTGTCCCAAATGGTACCACTAGGAAGAAATGTGAAATTAATTCATCAAGAGTCACATTTCGGGGAATGTTATTTATTGACATAAATCTTGCTTTTCATTGAATAAGAAATTAAGGTAGATGAGATTTTGCATAGAATTGAAATTGAATATTGAAAGTTAACTGAAATAAAGTTGTAAAGTGAGACAGAAGACAACTTTTAAATATATTTTATTTCTTTCAAATCCAATGTTATATTTTAATCTATACTATTTGGGATTGTCCAATAAATTGTCCTATAAAGCCGGTAAAATTACTTCTGCAGTTTGAATCCTAAACAAGTCCAGAAATAAAATCACATGTCCTACATTTTGATTAACAAGATCTTTTCAAATATGATATAGTGACGTTTATTAGCAAGGATTGAGTATTTAACTTTTGAATTAAATTTGTAATTATTAACAGAATTTTTATTAAAACTGAGTAGTCATACATGATGATGCTCAGGGCTTATTCTTGGCTGCTGTTGGTGCTCAGGGGACCACATGGGATGCTGGGGATATAATCTGGATCTGCCACATGCAAGACAAATGCCTTACTTATGGAAATGTTGTTCTGGCCCCTTAACAGACCTTTATGATCCCAGTTAACCTGGAATTCTCTTGATCATGATTTTCAAAAGGAAATAAAAGATCTTACCATAGTGTTACCATAGTGTTACAGTGTTTGAACCCTGGCACTGCATGGCCCAGTGTGTTTGATCCCCAGCTCTGCATGTTCCACCGAACACAAGTGACTTCCCAAGCACTAAGTTGGAGTAGCCCCTAAGCACCTGTCAGATGTGGCCCTCAAACCAAAATAAAAATAAGTGTATTCTAAGTTAAAGTTATTACTAGTTCTTAGGATCTAAGAATCATACATTATTCAAAAGAAATTTTAGCACTAGATTATGTAAGGTCAGGATCTGCTCTCTCTGCACTGACATTAGCCTAATAAAATAGCAAGCTACATTTGTGTTACCATTAAGGAATTAGTCAATAATTACTGGTCATGAGATTTATGCACCTTTAAAGTTTCTCTGCTAAAATAACATTGAATTTCTCTTTCAGATGATACCAAGATAGCACTACATCTGAAAGATAATGGAGGTAAGAATTGAAACTTTTCTATCATAAATATTTTTAGCTCCTGATCCATTTCATTCATTTAAATAAGAGAAAGAAGACTAGACTCTCCATTATCTTTTTCTTCTTAATGCAAAGTGATGCTGCATTTCACTCCATGAATTTCAACGAATTGACTTAAAGGCAAATGCTTTCAATAGTGCATTGAAATTCTGATTCTTTTATTTGCCTATATTACTGCATGAAACCAGTGACCAAATCTAAAGTATAAATTTATCCACAAATATTAAAGGGGATTGTTGCTATTGTTATCTGTATATTTGTGTTATTATCCACATGATTCAAATATCAAGCTCAACTGTATTTTTCACTAACATGGTTATTTAATTTAACCAAATTAAATAACAAATAATTGGCACATAACAGTTGTTATATAACACAGAAATAAATTGTGCTAGGTCCTTTTGTCAATATTTTATATGAATTAAGGAACAGAAATTCAAAGTGGAAAAGAAAATTTCATCATGCATACTTTGAGATTTTGAGATAATTTATAAATACTGTATCTAAATGGCATTTGAGTATTCCAGGAGAAAAGTTTTTACCAGAACAAGTCTGTGAAAGGAATTTACAAAAATTTTTCAAAAAACAGTTCTATTCTTATTAATATGCTATGTTGGCTCACATTTGTTTTCTATCACAATATGCTAGGTCTTTATAAAAAGGTATTAATTTAGGAATTGTTTATTTAGCTTAGGAAGTAGGGGTTTCTAGGTATTACGTTTTTTGTGTATAATTAGTAGCACCCATTATGTAAATGTGGGCACACTGTAACTTTGATTTAGACACAGTTTTACTTTTACATCCCGGTGTTTTGCAAGTAAAATCAAATACATACATTTCTAACAATAGTTTTCTCAATGACTATAGATAATAATTTTACACCCTGTGTTAAGTGACAAATGCTTTTAGATTTGTTTCATAGTTCACTCTTTTTAATTTTTTTTTTATTAAATCACGATGAGATACCCAGTTACAAATCTTCCATGGTTGGGTTTCAGTCATACAATGTTCCAATATCCATCCCTCCACCAGTGTACATTTTCCACCTTCAATCCACCAATGTCCTCAGTATCCCTCTTGCCACCCCCAATCCTCACCTGCCTCTATACATATGTATATATATTATACATATATATACATATAATACAGGGGCTGGAGCAAGAGCACAGAAGGTAGGGCATTTGCCTTGCACGCGGCCAACCTGGCTGACTCAAATTCGATTCCTCTGCCCCTCTTGGAGAGTCCAGCAAGCTACTGAGAGTATCTAGCCTGCATGATGAAGTCTGGCAAGCTAACCATGACATATTCGATACGCCAGACACAGTAACAAAAAGTCTCACAGTGGAGACATTTCTGGGCCTGCTCGAGCAAATTGATGAACAATGGGAAGACAGTGCTACAGTGCAATATTTGTATGTATGTAGATATATTGATATAGATTGAAATATATATATATATATATAGTTTGTTGTTTTCTTTGTAACAAAAGTGATCTGTTGGATAGCTCATATTGCTCATATCTTGTGCTTTCAGCCTTTTTGTACTCTTGGATAGGCCTTGGGCCAGCAGTGAAAATGACTCCTTTAGCTCATTGTTCCCAGCTAGTGCTCAACCAGAATTTCAGAATGTCACAATAGTTCTATACCCTGTGCCATTTTTCACGTCTAGTGTTGTTTAGAAAGTGCTTTTCCTAAAACCTTTCAAGTGCTGTTAGAGCAGATTGACCTGATCAATGATAAATTCCTTAAAAAGAGAATGTAAGGAACCAGAAGAATAGTACAGGGATGTGAAGGGCTGGAACCATAGTAGAGAAGGTAGGGTGTTTGCCTTGCTTTAATAGACTGGGGTTTGACCCCTGACATCCCATATGGTACCTGAGCCTGCCAGGAGTGATCCGTGAGCACAGAGTCAGTAGTAAGTCCTGGGCACAGCTAGGTTAGATCCCCAAACAAACAAAAATATAGAGAAAGATTTGCCTTGCACATGGTAGAACCGAATTCTTTTCCCCAAAAGCCACCAAGAGAAAACTCTGAATGTAATCATGCATGCCTGACTCCCCTCCTCCAAATTAAATACAATTTAAAAAAAAATTAAAAGAGTACTTAAGGGAAACCACATATTACTAATTATATAGTTCCTTCATTAAGGCAGTTTGCTATCATTGCATTTTATATTATGGAATGTAAAGGTGCAGGAGAATTGCCAGTTTAAACTTCATTTGTTAATTACATTAAAAACAATTTCAAATTGTCCTTCCTCATTCCCTCCAGTTTAACATTTTTACAAAATAATTGTTATAGTGAGACAGGAAGCCTAATTGAGATCTTTTCTCATATTTGTTGCCAGTGACTATTTTAGTGCAAGCTGAAGCAATTTAATGAATCCCTCTGTGTTGGATCAGAGCAATTATGTAGTACGTAGGTCACTTGCCATGTATCAAACCCTAGGCCATCCCGGGTTCAATTCCATGCCATCTCATATGATTCCCTGAGCACTGCAAAGACTAATTCCTGAGTGCAGAGCCAGGAGTATTCCCTGAATATCACCAAGTATGCTCCCCCAAAAAATGATCAAAAAGTCCCTATGTGTTGTGGAAAAGAAATTTCAGGCATTCTATTTCTTGATTTAACTGCCTGTTCTTAAAAACTTTTTAATTTAGAGGTCTGTGCCTTTCTTGAAAAGATAGTCACATTTTTCAAAGTTGTCAGTCTTTAAGTAGAAACAAATGACTATTCCTTTTTTATATATCCCTTAAATATTGAGTTACCTTGGCATTGAGTCTTTCTGGCACTTTTTGATGGGTTCAAGTCATTGATTTTCTTAGTGAAATCCACAGCAAGCATGATGTTTCACTTTCCAGATTTTCCTTCATCTAAAGATTTTCCTTCATCTAAAGTATTTCTGAGCAGTTGGACATCAAAACACAGAACAAAGTTTTTATTCACACGATCCAAACTGAACTACAGTCTGCTAAATCACTTTTGAATCTCCAACTGTACACTAAGTTTCTGATCCATTTAGATTAGGTCTAGGTAGAACCTATAAGTTCTTTTAAGTTTTATTCAGCTAATTAAAAATCAAAATTTTTTAAAAAAATTTAAAAAACTTTTATTCAACTGCGGGGTTGAGTGGATATTGTAAACTCTTAATTTTGAGGTTCTTTAAGCAAAGAAAATGATATATAGTGAGTTCTATTAGTACATTATAGCATTGATAGATAGTTGCATATGGCCAAATATAAAATTTTATAGAGAGAATACAAAGATAGCATTATTTCCAACTGAAATAACTAGTTGTCTATTTGTAAGATTAAGTCTAGAGAAATATGTTAGTATTATTCAAATAGAATACCTGTTCCTTATTTATGTGAGAAACATAATAAGGATAAGGAGGAGGAATGAAGGAGGAAAAGACAATAGGAGGAAAGATTTATTATTTGCTTTGTTTCAGGCATTAGTCTAAATGGATTTTTTAAATTCAATTCGCACATTGTACTCATATAAATTGCTTTTTCTTAGCTTGCCATTTTTATAATTGAGACAAAGAACCAGGAAAGAGAGGTTACCTAGCTAGTTTGGGGTAAAACTGGGATGTGAATCTGTCTAACCTGACTCACTAAGTCTGACAGCCTTTTGATATTACTGCTTGCTCACAGCCAGGTCCCTTACAATCAAAGGTGACATGGAAAAATGCTACCCTAAGGCCTTTACTTGTACCTTTTGTGTTCTTTTTCTACAGTAACTGTAGTTAAGAAGTATGTGAAGTAAATTTTTTTCTCATGTAACAATTATGTATCAGTTGTTTTTTTTTTTAAAACCCTTTCTATAGACCAACCTGTTGATTCTTCTGTGTGACTGAGTAATATCTGAGTCCCTGGCATGTGATTTCCAAGCTACAGGGCTACCATATTTATGTTGAAAATTTACTGAAGCTTTGTTTGTTTGTTTGTTTGTTTGTTTATTTTAGGGTGGGGGGAAGAATATGGTCACACCCAGGAATGCTTACTCCTGGCTCAGTGTTCAGAGATCACTCCTGTCAGTGCTTGGGGGACCATATGCTGTGCTGTGTGGATTGAACTAGGGTCAGTTTCAAGCAAGGCAAATGTCTTACTATACCGTGTCTGTAGTCTGATCAGAATCAAAGTTAAAGTTCTTTCAGTCCTGTTTTCTCTAGAAATCTAGGTTTAATTCAGCTTTAAGAGGGGTCTGGAACATATTTTTAAAATACATATATTTCTGTGAATTATGGTAATGATTTTAAGAATTTAAAACTATCTTCTTTTGGGCATCAAATCCTGAAAGAACTTACTAGGAGTATATTGTTTGACAGAATTGAGATGGATAACTGGTAGGAGTATGTTGGGGCCACACTGGTGGTGCTTGGGTTTACACCCAGCTCTGTGCTTGCAGGTTGCTTCTGGCAATCTTGAGGACCATTTGTTACCTGGGATTGAACCAGTTAGACCACATGTAAGGCAAGCACCATAATCACCGTACTAATTCTCTGACCCAAAAGCTAAAAATTTATCTTGCTGTATATTGAGGTCTTCTATGAGATAATATAGGTGGCTCCCCAAAATCATTATCACCACCGGCATAGAAATATAAATATCTTTAACATGAAAACTAGATAGAATTAGTAACCAGGGCTGAAAAGAGGTTGAGTTAATGGCAATGAACTTTACTTGAGTAAAGTCTTCAACTAGCTTCAACTCAGTTTAGTAAAATGAGTTGCGCTACTTTGCAGTATCGCAAATGTCAAAATTATTTCAGGTTGTAAAATCCTGTAAATCTACTTTATTACTTAGTTTGTTGACTCATCAAAGAGCCCAAAATTTTGTTCTCTCTTGGTTTCTCTGAAGGGTTTTTCCTTTGATAGATTAAGTTTTTTTTAAATAATAAATTTATGAGTTATACTAATAAAGCATCGCCACTCCAGATAGTTGTCGTATTATCTGATAA